CCAGCCTGTTACTGACAGTGGTGAAGAGAGGGTAAGGTGGTCACTACTACCAGCCCGTTACTGACAGTGGTGAAGAGAGGGTAAGGTGGTCACTACTACCAGCCTGTTACTGACAGTAGTGAAGAGAGGGTAAGGTGGTCACTACTACCAGCCTGTTACTGACAGTGGTGAAGAGAGGGTAAGGTGGTCACTACTACCAGCCTGTTACTGACAGTGGTGAAGAGAGGGTAAGATGGTCACTACTACCAGCCTGTTACTGACAGTGGTGAAGAGAGGGTAAGGTGGTCACTACTACCAGCCTGTTACTGACAGTAGTGAAGAGAGGGTAAGGTGGTCACTACTACCAGCCTGTTACTGACAGTGGTGAAGAGAGGGTAAGGTGGTCACTACTACCAGCCTGTTATCACTCATAAAACAAAAATTGAATCTCCACAATACGAGATGTTATATCACTCGACATTTATTATCTAATTAAATACTAATATGAACTCAACTCTAGTGTTTAAATAATTGTAGTTAAAACTGTCTCTGGTGACACTGAATTGCCTCCGCCAGCCCCCCCCCCCCGGACCCCAGCTCAAGGGGGCCAAGTCTGTGCCAGAGAGACCTGACCTCAACTACCCTGAGGTGGTGTCGTCCGGCACACTAGTCCCCTCTAGTGCTCTACAGTACCAGTACACCTCATGTTACCGGCACACTAGTCCCCTCTAGTGCTCTACAGTACCAGTACACCTCATGTTACCGGCACACTAGTCCCCTCTAGTGCTCTACAGTACCAGTACACCTCATGTTACCGGTACACTAGTCCCCCCCCCCCTACCGTGCTCTACAGTATCAGTACACCTCATGTTACCGGCACACTAGTCCCCTCTAGTGCTCTACAGTACCAGTACACCTCATGTTACCGGCACACTAGTCCCCTCTAGTGCTCTACAGTACCAGTACACCTCATGTTACCGGCACACTAGTCCCCTCTAGTGCTCTACAGTACCAGTACACCTCATGTTACCGGTACACTAGTCCCCCCCCCCTACCGTGCTCTACAGTACCAGTACACCTCATGTTACCGGCACACTAGTCCCCTCTAGTGCTCTACAGTACCAGTACACCTCATGTTACCGGCACACTAGTCCCCTCTAGTGCTCTACAGTACCAGTACACCTCATGTTACCGGCACACTAGTCCCCTCTAGTGCTCTACAGTACCAGTACACCTCATGTTACCGGCACACTAGTCCCCTCTAGTGCTCTACAGTACCAGTACACCTCATGTTACCGGCACACTAGTCCCCTCTAGTGCTCTACAGTACCAGTACACCTCATGTTACCGGCACACTAGTCCCCTCTAGTGCTCTACAGTATCAGTACACCTCATGTTACCTGCACACTAGTCCCCTCTAGTGCTCTACAGTACCAGTACACCTCATGTTACCGGCACACTAGTCCCCTCTAGTGCTCTACAGTACCAGTACACCTCATGTTACCGGTACACTAGTCCCCCCCCTACCGTGCTCTACAGTACCAGTACACCCCCCCCCCTTAGCGTGCTCTACAGTAACAATACACCCCCCTAGCGTGCTCCACAGTACCAGTACACCCCCTAGCGTGCTCTACAGTACCAGTACACCCCCTAGCGTGCTCTACAGTACCAGTACACCCCCTAGCGTGCTCTACAGTACCAGTACACCCCCCTAGCTTGCTCTACAGTACCAGTACACCCCCCCTAGCGTGCTCTACAGTAACAGTACACCCCCCTAGCGTGCTCTACAGTACCAGTACACCCCCTAGCGTGCTCTACAGTACCAGTACACCCCCTAGCGTGCTCTACAGTACCAGTACACCCCCTAGCGTGCTCCACAGTACCGGTACACCCCCCTAGCGTGCTCTACAGTACCAGTACACCCCCCCTAGCGTGCTCCACAGTACCAACACACCCCCCTAGCGTGCTCTACAGTACCAGTACACCCCCTAGCGTGCTCCACAGTACCAGTACACCCCCCTAGCGTGCTCTACTGTACCAGTACACCCCCCTAGCGTGCTCCACAGTACCAGTACACCCCCCCTAGCGTGCTCTACAGTACCAGTACACCCCCCTAGCGTGCTCTACAGTACCAGTACACTCCCCTAGCGTGCTCTACAGTACCAGTACACCCCCTAGCGTGCTCTACAGTACCAGTACACCCCCTAGCGTGCTCTACAGTACCAGTACACCTCCCCTAGCGTGCTCTACAATACCAGTACACCCCCCTAGCGTGCTCTACAATACCAGTACACCCCCCTAGCGTGCTCTACAATACCAGTACACCCCCTAGCGTGCTCTACAGTACCAGTACACCCCCTAGCGTGCTCTACAATACCAGTACACCCCCTAGCGTGCTCTACAATACCAGTACACCCCCTAGCGTGCTCTACAATACCAGTACACCTCCCTAGCGTGCTCTACAGTACCAGTACACCCCCCTAGTGTGCTCTACAGTACCAGTACACCTCCCCTAGCGTGCTCTACAATACCAGTACACCCCCCTAGCGTGCTCTACAATACCAGTACACCCCCCTAGCGTGCTCTACAATACCAGTACACCCCCTAGCGTGCTCTACATAACCAGTACACCTCCCTAGCGTGCCCTACAATACCAGTACACCCCCCTAGCGTGCTCTACAATACCAGTACACCCCCCTAGCGTGCTCTACAATACCAGTACACCCCCCTAGCGTGCTCTACAATACCAGTACACCCCCTAGCGTGCTCTACAGTACCAGTACACCCCCTAGCGTGCTCTACAATACCAGTACACCCCCTAGCGTGCTCTACAATACCAGTACACCCCCTAGCGTGCTCTACAATACCAGTACACCTCCCTAGCGTGCTCTACAGTACCAGTACACCCCCCTAGTGTGCTCTACAGTACCAGTACACCTCCCCTAGCGTGCTCTACAATACCAGTACACCCCCCTAGCGTGCTCTACAATACCAGTACACCCCCCTAGCGTGCTCTACAATACCAGTACACCCCCTAGCGTGCTCTACAATACCAGTACACCTCCCTAGCGTGCCCTACAATACCAGTACACCCCCCTAGCGTGCTCTACAATACCAGTACACCCCCTAGCGTGCTCTACAATACCAGTACACCCCCCTAGCGTGCTCTACAATACCAGTACACGCCCCTAGCGTGCTCTACAATACCAGTACACCCCCCTAGCGTGCTCTACAATACCAGTACACCCCCCTAGTGTGCTCTACAATACCAGTGTTACGGACCCGGATTCAGCGTCCGAGCCTGGAGCAGTGACAAACACGCCATCTGTGGGTCAGCTCCCGGAACCCCCGCCAAACGAACGACGACACCTAGTGAGGACAGCGTGTACCGGCCTCGAGGACCAGTTTCCAGTCTGGTTCAGCGCTCAACACCGCCGCTCCTGACCTCTGGTGAGGTGGTGCTCCGACGACAGCGCCATCTATGGAGTGGATATGTCGGGCGTTTGTATCTGAGCCTGTGAGTGTGGTGTATTAGTGTCCCGGTTATTAATGACGTGTCTGCTTACAGAGCCGACCTGGGACCATTGTGTTGAAGGTGGAGTCAGTCTACCCGAGGCAGCCAGTCTCCATACAGTGAAGTTTGCTGCAGCTGTCGTGACGTCGTCCCCCCGGAAGAACACTGTGGTGTGTTAAGCCTGCCAGTGGAGTGGCAGTGGAAGGATTTACCCGGGACCGACGGTTGGAGACGATAACCCACTGGGGTATTGAGGACAGGAGGGTGATTGGTGATATCACACGAGACTCCTGTCTAGGGCGTACCCCTTTTATCGTTCGTGGAGTGGCCGTACCAGCCTTGGTGGCTCAGTACCTGCCAGCAGACCTGCTGGACGTGTGGTTGACGGCCTCCACGACGGTGCCCCCAGTGGACCTGTGTTGTGGCTGACCTGTGGCCAGGGTAGACTCGGCGTTCTCAGAGGACACGTCTTGAGGCCACGAAGAAAGCACCGCGGACTCGGCACCTAGCTTCGAGGATCCATAGTCTCCAGCAGAAGACTACAGTGTTGATCCCCTTTGTAAAGTGTTAATACCCCTCCCCCTTGTGTACTCTTTTATTATATATATTAAATGGTGATGGTGAACATTATATAATAAGTTCTTAACTTTCTTTCCCTACTCCCTTTAAGTTACTTGCGTCACAGATCGCATCCCTTGATAGCCTCTACTGGCTTGGGGCCGGATATATATCTTCCTCTAACTACATCAGAGTAAGAACCCCGTTGCGTCCCGAGAGGGCCGTAACAACCAGTAAACCCCCTAGCGTGCTCTACAATACCAGTACACCTCCCTAGCGTGCCCTACAATACCAGTACACCCCCCTAGCGTGCTCTACAATACCAGTACACCCCCTAGCGTGCTCTACAATACCAGTACACCCCCTAGCGTGCTCTACAATACCAGTACACCTCCCTATCGTGCCCTACAATACCAGTACACCCCCCTTGCGTGCTCTACAATACCAGTACACCCCCCTAGCGTGCTCTACAATACCAGTACACCCCCCTAGCGTGCTCTACAATACCAGTACACCCCCCTAGCGTGCTCTACAATACCAGTACACCCCCCTAGCGTGCTCTACAATACCAGTACACCCCCTAGCGAGCTCTACAATACCAGTACACCCCCTAGCGTGCTCTACAATACCAGTACACCTCCCTAGCGTGCCCTACAATACCAGTACACCCTCCTAGCGTGCTCTACAATACCAGTACACCCCCTAGCGTGCTCTACAATACCAGTACACCCCCCTAGCGTGCTCTACAATACCAGTACACCCCCCTAGCGTGCTCTACAATACCAGTACACCCCCCTAGCGTGCTCTACAATACCAGTACACCCCCCTAGCGTGCTCTACAATACCAGTACACCCCCTAGCGTGCTCTACAATACCAGTACACCCCCCTAGCGTGCTCTACAATACCAGTACACCTAGCTCAGGTTACCGCGTGTGGAGAGTCAATCAGTCAAGCGCGATAACGGGAACAGGAACTACCAGCCTCCTCACTACCAGCCTCCTCACTACCAGTCTCCTCACTACCAGTCTCCTCACTACCAGTCTCCTGACTACCAGTCTCCTGACTACCAGCCTCCTCACTACCAGTCTCCTGACTACCAGCCTCCTCACTACCAGCCTCCTCACTACCAGCCTCCTCACTACCAGTCTCCTCACTACCAGTCTCCTGACTACCAGCCTCCTCACTACCAGTCTCCTCACTACCAGTCTCCTCACTACCAGTCTCCTCACTACCAGTCTCCTCACTACCAGTCTCCTCACTACCAGCTTCCTCACTACCAGCCTCCTCACTACCAGTCTCCTCACTACCAGCCTCCTCACTACCAGTCTCCTCACTACCAGTCTCCTCACTACCAGTCTCCTCACTACCAGCTTCCTCACTACCAGCCTCCTCACTACCAGCCTCCTCACTACCAGTCTCCTCACTACCAGCTTCCTCACTACCAGCTTCCTCACTACCAGCCTCCTCACTACCAGTCTCCTCACTACCAGTCTCCTCACTACCAGTCTCCTCACTACCAGTCTCCTCACTACCAGTCTCCTCACTACCAGTCTCCTCACTACCAGTCTCCTCACTACCAGCTTCCTCACTACCAGCCTCCTCACTACCAGTCTCCTCACTACCAGCCTCCTCACTACCAGTCTCCTCACTACCAGCCTCCTCACTACCAGTCTCCTCACTACCAGCTTCCTCACTACCAGCCTCCTCACTACCAGTCTCCTCACTACCAGTCTCCTCACTACCAGCCTCCTCACTACCAGTCTCCTCACTACCAGGATCCTCACTACCAGCCTCCTGGCTTACTCCGCTCATTCGCAATATATTGCAGGATTACCGTCGAACTCAAGCTCGGAATTAACATTCATTTATATGGAAATATGACGTGATATGTTTATTGATCATTGAACAAAATAAGTGGAAAATTATTTATCTGATCCACTAATAAAAATTCTTAAAATTACCTCCTGCGTTAGGCTCAGATTATTTTCTGTGCAGGTTGTGCTTGACTCTTATTTCCTAAAATATTATCCCTACTTCTATTCTCTATGTTCTTCGTCTCCTGCTTTCTCGTTGTCAATCCTCTTTTGTGGTTGTCGTTGACTCTCATAGTGCCCTCATGGCTCTCGGGTCCTTTAATCCAGTCCATCCAGTGGTCGTCGAGATTCAACATTGGCTGTTTCTTATTTGCAGTTAATTTAAGTCGGTAGAGTTTTGCTGGGTTCCCAGCCATGTTGGTGTCTCTTTAAATGAGCGTGCGGACGCTGCCGCTAAGGAAGTTATCCGCTCTTGTTCCATCTCCCGTAAAGGTATTCCTTTTTCAGATTTTTACCCAGTTATTCATTCCACCGTCCTTGCCCGCTGGCAGATTTGTTGGTCTTCTGTTACAGGTAACAAACTACGTACTCTTAAGAGTAGTGTGTCCCTGTGGCCTTCCTCCTACCACCGTAACCGGCGGTAGGAAACGGCTCTGGCAAAGTTGCGTATTGGCCATACGCGCCTAACTCACGGACACGTAACGGAGCGCTGCCCTGCTCCTTATTGTCCTAACTTCATTGTCCCTCTTACAGTTGGGCATATTCTTGTTGAATGTCCTGACTTCCAGGACTAGAGTATGTCTTGCTTCCCGACCGTCCCCCGCGGTCACTTGTCCCTCGATAGAATTTTTGGTGTATCTGATACTTTTGATATCGTTCGCCTTATGCGTTTCTGTTCTCGTATTGGCATCCTTGGTGATATTTAGCGCCCTCTGATTATCCCGCACATTTGATGGTGCTACATAGCCTTCCCGGCTTGGTGTTTTCTATGATAATTACTTACTTATCCCTACTTCACTATTCTTACTACTACACATTATTAATCAAACTCTCAATAATACACCACACACCTGTCACTCAACACCTGACCCATATATATTTGCAGGTGAGTTGCCCCCTGGGACATCGCGAGCACCTCATTCAGCTGACCACAACCTTCAGCCAACAGCTAAATTCTCAAATCACCAAATATTTCCCACTGTATGAACAACCAATCTTACTACAATGTCAAGTTCTGGTGAACATTCCCTGAACTTTACACATCTCCCAAAATCGCGAGAACACCTCGACAAAAATTACTTTCTTCTAATATGAAAACCAATATTAAAACACCTGGTTATCTCTCTGATAGCGCCTGAGTGGCGAAAGACACGTGACAATACACAATGTTTTTCATACCAAGTTAAACCATTGTTCAATACCGCTATAACGGAGTGGAATAAGAAGAAAAGTATTGGGGGAGGAAAAGTGAGATTTAGGAAGGGAGGTGGAGGAGAAAAAGAGACAAGGAATATGTAGAGAAATAGAAGATGCGATGAAGGGTAGACTAAGCAAGAGAGGAAGAAAGAGGGGTAGAAATGATGGATATAATGAGTTGAATGAGAGAGCGCTGCCATCATCCATTTATATATTTATACAACATGAAGTGGAACTCGTCTCTGTTCAACAGTTATGTTCAAGATTATGATTGATAACAGAATAACATCAATGTTAACTGCAAGCATCAGGATCGGAAAAGTTAATCACTAAGTCTGAATCCTTAGTAAGTAAACTTCAGAGTTCTCTTCACTCTAGCTTTGACTTTGCATAGGTCAAGAAATAAATCCACGATCATAGGTTATCAGATTTAAAGACAATTAAAAATAACTTAAGAAATTATTTATTTATTATATATGTTCATGACAGTTCAATGATATCGATGGACAATTATTTGCCTTTCACTTTAACATAGCAAAACTAATTAAGAATCAGTCACTACACAAGAAATTGAGACCACTACAGTTAACAATTTCACAACGTATAATTTAGTAACACCAAATACATCACCTCACAGGACAAATCTGTATAGACTGCTACCGCTGACCCTCTCTGCTGGAGCATCTTCTATCTCTCAATGTACAGCTACCAGGTGGGCAGTTGTACATTGGGAGATAAGAAGGGAACTAGGAGCTAATCTCCGCCTATCAGAGATAGCCAGAGATAGCCCCTGGCTATCTCTCTATCACACCAGACAAGTCGGCTGGTTTGATGGAAAGAATACACTGCAATTATCAGTGTGGCACAAGGGCAAGGTCTCCCGACACGACCTGACCTCACCCAACATGTGAACATTAACGTCTCTGAGGTGAGACTTTGCTCTGTCTAAGGAGTCGACCATCTGGAGACACAGTTTCCTGGGTGAACTAACTCTGAATATATTAAATAAAACCATTTATTGTGTTACATTATTGCCTCCCTGACTTGTTGCATAAGGAAATTCCTCCCTACTATTTCTACAAGATTTGCTCTTCATTTTTCATCTCCTTCGCTTGCATCATTGTTTCCCCAGATGATTTAGCCATGACTGAAGTCTCACATTATCAGGAGCTTTGCTATCAGTCTATGGGCTCTGTAATCCCTTGGAGCATAGTTAAGTATGCTCTGCTCGTAATTTCATATTCTTGCTTTGGTGTTCTGTTGTTCTATGGGGGTTTGTAGACGGCTGATTGATTCATTGATACAAATTAAGCCACCCAAGAGGTGGCACGGGCATGAATAGCCCGTAAGTGGTGGCTCTTTTGAGCCATTACCAGTATCAATAGCTGATCCTGGAGATCTGTGGAGGTGCGACTGCACCCTCCTTGAGGGGAGATGTCTCCCGTGTGTAGACGGCGAAGATCCAGGTCCTTTTAACCAACAGTGCCACACCACCTCCACGTCTCTATTGTTGTCTTTTGCTTCTCATTATTTGATATTCCATTGGGAATATAACATTACTAATCATTCTAGTTAGTTTGGTCTCTACTAGTGCTATTACATCAGGGTCTGTTTACTTAGTCTTTTCTTTGAGTTCATCTGCTATGTTTGTCAATCCATTGGCAGGTATTCAGAGTCTTTATTGTTGTACCTTTTTCTGAATGTCTAGTTTCCAGTTTAGGTATGGGGAAAAAATGTGGGTGGAAGTATGGTTGGAGATTTATGTTGGATATCTGGCATGTTTGGCCTGAGGGAGGATCTGGAGGTGGTCTGGTTGTTCGTTCCTTGTCAGGCCTGAGAGCTGAGTCCTTCTACCTGGGGCTCTGGCAGCTCGTTCATCATGTTACCATTTATATGTTCCCGCACTGTACTGCTATATGGAGAGTTGATCTCTTGTTTCCCGGGGAAATTCAAAGTTTTCTGTTTCTTGTCTCACTCTCTCCTGTTGCTGGCTACTGCCCACTCTCCTCCATTTATTCCTTGTCTCTACCCTACCTTTTTCTTTGTTCTATCTTCGCTTGTATTTCCTACTTGCTTATGTCAATTCGTGGTAGACCCTTTCATATCCTGTCATTGTTCTGAGATCTCGTTTCCAATTTATTAAGGTTCTTGGACCTGTTTCATTCATAAATATAAGATTCAGTGATCTAGTTTTCCTGTGTTCTCGTGATATTTGCATACGGTCTGCATTGGTTTCTGCTGTTGTTATCTCAGTCACTGAATGATTATAGATCTCTCATTCTCTATAATTCTCCTAGTCTGTTCTTTCATCTTTTGGGAATTTGGTATTTGGAGAGCAACATCTATCATCTATCATCTATCTATCAACATTTTTTCATTGTTGGTAGTGACCACTTGGGCCCACGTGGTGCCATTGTTGGTAGTGACTACTTGGGCCCACGTGGTGCCATTGTTGGTAGTGACCACTTGGGCCCACGCGGTGCTATTGTTGCTAGTGACTACTTGGGCCCACGTGGTGCCATTGTTGGTAGTGACTACTTGGGCCCACGTGGTGCCATTGTTGGTAGTGACTACTTGGGCCCACGTGGTGCCATTGTTGGTAGTGACTACTTGGGCCCACGTGGTGCCATTGTTGGTAGTGACTACTTGGGCCCACGCGGTGCCATTGTTGGTAGTGACTACTTGGGCCCACGTGGTGCCATTGTTGGTAGTGACTACTTGGGCCCACGTGGTGCCATTGTTGGTAGTGACTACTTGGGCCCACGTGGTGCCATTGTTGGTAGTGACCACTTGGGCCCACGTGGTGCCATTGTTGGTAGTGACCACTTGGGCCCACGCGGTGCCATTGTTGGTAGTGACCACTTGGGCCCACGCGGTGCCATTGTTGGTAGTGACTACTTGGGCCCACGCGGTACCATTGTTGGTAGTGACCACTTGGGCCCACGCGGTGCCATTGTTGGTAGTGACCACTTGGGCCCACGCGGTGCCATTGTTGGTAGTGACTACTTGGGCCCACGTGGTGCCATTGTTGGTAGTGACTACTTGGGCCCACGCGGTGCCATTGTTGGTAGTGACCACTTGGGCCCACGCGGTGCCATTGTTGGTAGTGACCACTTGGGCCCACGTGGTGCCATTGTTGGTAGTGACCACTTGGGCCCACGTGGTGCCATTGTTGGTAGTGACCACTTGGGCCCACGCGGTGCCATTGTTGGTAGTGACCACTTGGGCCCACGCGGTGCCATTGTTGGTAGTGACTACTTGGACCCACGTGGTGCCATTGTTGGTAGTGACCACTTGGGCCCATGTGGTGCCATTGTTGGTAGTGACCACTTGGGCCCACGCGGTGCCATTGTTGGTAGTGACCACTTGGGCCCACGCGGTGCCATTGTTGGTAGTGACCACTTGGGCCCACGTGGTGCCATTGTTGGTAGTGACCACTTGGGCCCACGTGGTGCCATTGTTGGTAGTGACCACTTGGGCCCACGCGGTGCCATTGTTGGTAGTGACCACTTGGGCCCACGCGGTGCCATTGTTGGTAGTGACTACTTGGGCCCACGTGGTGCCATTGTTGGTAGTGACCACTTGGGCCCATGTGGTGCCATTGTTGGTAGTGACCACTTGGGCCCACGCGGTGCCATTGTTGGTAGTGACCACTTGGGCCCACGTGGTGCCATTGTTGGTAGTGACTACTTGGGCCCACGCGGTGCCATTGTTGGTAGTGACCACTTGGGCCCACGTGGTGCCATTGTTGGTAGTGACCACTTGGGCCCACGCGGTGCCATTATTGGTAGTGACCACTTGGGCCCACGCGGTGCCATTGTTGGTAGTGACCACTTGGGCCCACGTGGTGCCATTGTTGGCAGTAACTACTTGGGCCCACGCGGTGCCATTGTTGGTAGTGACCACTTGGGCCCACGCGGTGCCATTGTTGGTAGTGACCACTTGGGCCCATGTAACACGGGTTTGGGTTCCTCTCACTTTACTTCCTTCTTTCTACTCCCTCTACCCGTATTCTTACTCTTATTTCTAAACCAAGGGACTCCAAAACTTTTACCAAAGCCAACTCCACGCCACGTGGTCCTAAGACGATTGACCGACTTAGGATTCTACACCCAGTATGACGTGACCTAAGCTCTGAACAAAACCCTAGAGTCACCTCTGCTGCCACCACCAGACCAGTAATACAAGAGCAATGATCGAGGTCTGGATCGATCACGCTAATTAATCAACCTAGGGGCTTGATCCCCACTATAAACGATGACCTTGAGTGTGGAATAAATTACACGGTAATGATAATTCCGATTCGATGTTAGAATCGGCGCCCAATGCAACTCTGCCTCGTGCGGACCACGTGACCAGGACAAGTATACACATAAAACACATGGAAACAATAAAATGCAAATTAATAACAAATTTAATTTATTAAAAGAAAACTAAAACAAAATCTAAATGTGTTCACTCCCTATCACTTTAACACTCCCTACTTGACCTGAGTGGCAAATGAGAAGACTATCCCTATAATTAACAATAGCAACTATACCTTGGGCGACCACAGCTCTAGGTGTTGGGTGGTCTTGGGGAGAGGTAAGATGTTTGACCTCTCCCAGCTGCTCCCGTATTCACACTGATTTCTTCCTTGTCTGGTCTCCCCCAGACAGAACATTGTATCCTTCCGCCTAGTCAAAGTTCTACCCAGTTACTAGCAAGGTTTAAGTTATAACAATTAACCTCTGTTGTACTTAATTGATCCAGACTGGTTGAATTATTTTACTGAATTAAATTACAAACATCTAACGGCAGAGCTGTTCCCGATCACAAAAATGGTTATTAAAACTTGTAGAAATAGTAGAAATAGTAGACCTGTCAACCCCTGATGACCTATGACCGCCGGTCACTCCGCCTTAAAAGTTAGATCCGATTCGTGACGTCACTGATGGTGACTTAAACTCAATAATTAGAATACTCTTGATATTGTATCCAGTACTATTATACAATACAATTTTAATGCAAAATGAATAAAGGCTAATTTTCTCTAAATTGCTGAATACTATAGGATGATTCATTATACGCAGATATGAACAAAGCGTCGGTTATTTCCACCGCGAATTCCCCTGGGGGTCAGGTCACCATGCGGCTCAGCTTCCCATTCTCTTTTGTCGATAAACCACTCTGGATAATTCTTACAACAGCCTAGTCTGTTACAACCCCCCCGCACAAGCACTTAGTAAACCTTGTTAATTTGTTAAAATTCACGAGGTTTAGTATCCAAACCCACAATTCAACTCATGCCACAAACAAAAGCTAACCTAACTAATAAAATTTGACAAATAATAGTCCAACATCATAATGAACATGTTCATATTTCATAAATTTCTCAGCTGTCAACTGACAGCAATCCTCCAATATCAGGAAACATTCATCCTATCCTTACTGACATAGCTAAATAACATGTCCCTACTCTACCATCAAAAACTAGCTATTAAACTCTCTTGGCTCTTCACTAGCCAAGTCCATGTGTCCTCTAGAGCCGGCCACACCGTGCTCAAACATAAACATTAAAGTTATAAGTTCAGACTGAACTTTCAGTCATCCGGGAGCGTACTACGGAACTATCAAGTTCACATCCGTGTACTAACCACTCCCCATCAAGGAACACACCTAACGTTTATTACATGTATCTAAAAATATAAAAAAAAATTCCTATACTATATCACAGGTTTCAGCTGACTGTACAGCCAAGTGTTCTCACTCACTAGAAGTGTCAATGTTTATATTGGTCCGCCTCTCCTGTGTTCAAACATTCTGAAAAAAAATAGCACAACATAATTTTCCATAACCGTTTGTTCTGGGCTGAGACAATTACACAGGGGCTTCGATTTTGATTACTGACCAATTTATAGAGTAAAATTCATATTATACCAATTATTATTTTAAATCTGTTTTTCAACATTTATAAAGTATTGATTCTAAATCTGTTTTTCAACATTTAAACAAAAGTGTCCAGATGTTCTTTACACAGATGTTCAGAGCCAACTTTGTTGTTTGTATCCAGTACTATTATACAATACAATTTTAATGCAAAATGAATAAAGGCTAATTTTCTCTAAATTGCTGAATACTATAGGATGATTCATTATACGCAGATATGAACAAAGCGTCGGTTATTTCCACCGCGAATTCCCCTGGGGGTCAGGTCACCATGCGGCTCAGCTTCCCATTCTCTTTTGTCGATAAACCACTCTGGATAATTCTTACAACAGCCTAGTCTGTTACACCCACGCGGTGCCATTGTTGGTAGTGACTACTTGGGCCCACGCGGTGCCATTGTTGGTAGTGACTACTTGGGCCCACGCGGTGCCATTGTTGGTAGTGACTACTTGGGCCCACGTGGTGCCATTGTTGGTAGTGACTACTTGGGCCCACGCGGTACTATTGTTGGTAGTGACTACTTGGGCCCACGTTGTGCCATTGTTGGTAGTGACTACTTGGGCCCACGTGGTGCCATTGTTGGTAGTGACCACTTGGGCCCACGTGGTGCCATTGTTGGTAGTGACTACTTGGGCCCACGTGGTGCCATTGTTGGTAGTGACTACTTGGGCCCACGTAGTGCCATTGTTGGTAGTGACTACTTGGGCCCACGTGGTGCCATTGTTGGTAGTGACCACTTGGGCCCACGTGGTGCCATTGTTGGTAGTGACCACTTGGGCCCACGTGGTGCCATTGTTGGTAGTGACTACTTGGGCCCACGCGGTGCCATTGTTGGTAATGACCACTTGGGCCCACGTGGTGTCATTGTTGGTAGTGACCACTTGGGCCCACGTGGTGTCATTGTTGGTAGTGACTACTTGGGCCCTCGGGAAGGGCCCGAGGGCCCAAGGGAACAAAAAATAACAAAACTGGCAGAAGACACGAACAAAGGCTAAACACAAGAGACAGAGAGAAATGATATACTGTGCAGGAGACGCTAACAACCATTGAGGCTAAACTCAAACACCTGAACCCTGTAAATGGCGTTTGAGTTTAGCCTCAATGGTTGTTAGCGTCTCCTGACACAGTATATCATTTCTCTCTGTCTCTTGTGTTTGGCCTTTGTTCGTGTCTTCTGCCAGTTTTGTTATTTTTTGTTCCCATTTTGCATCTGGCTCCGGTATTCTGTTGTCCAAGGTTACTCTCATATTCTCAATTTCCTTTTGCCAAGTTTTTAGCTTCCACGTTCTATTTCATTATTCTCTCCTGACACTGGTTTTTCTCAGTTGTCGCCTCCATGATTCTGAAATTGTGTCGTTCTTCTCCAATTTCTGTTTTCTCTGCTTTGAAATTTCTCACTTAAATCATCAGTCTTTTTCTTGTAGTTATCCTTCATCATCACCATTGCCTGAGCCTACCTTTAGTGAGACTCTTCACTTTCCCTCTTTATTTGTTCCTCTTATCTTCCCTTTCCTTCTGAATCAAACCTCTTGCTCTCTCTGTTGTCTCCCCTGAGGTTTCCTCCTCTTTCCTCCCCATCAGAGTGAGTCTCTCCCTCCTGTGCTTGCTCTTCCCTCCCTCGGGTTAATGTCAGTTCAGAGATACATGAGTGATTGAGTGATGAAGATTAAGCCACCCAAGAGGTGGCTCGGGCTTAAGTAGCTCGTAAGAGTACATGTACTATGTAGGTACTATCTGTAAGACTATATGTACTATGTAGCTATATATAGGGATAAAGAAGGATAGACTGAAGTTGCAGAGTTGTGGGGGAGGCAGAGCTGTGGGGGAGACAGAGTTGTGGGGGAGGCAGAGTTGTGGGGGAGGCAGAGTTGTGGGGGAGGCAGAGTTGTGGGGGAGGCAGAGTTGTGGGGGAGGCAGAGTTGTGGGGGAGGCAGAGTTGTGGGGGAGGCAGAGTTGTGGGGGAGGCAGAGTTGTGGGGGAGGCAGAGTTGTGGGGGAGACAGAGTTGTGGGGGAGGCAGAGTTGTGGGGGAGGCAGAGTTGTGGGGGAGGCAGAGTTGTGGGGGAGGCAGAGTTGTGGGGGAGGCAGAGTTGTGGGGGAGGCAGAGTTGTGGGGGAGACAGAGTTGTGGGGGAGGCAGAGTTGTGGGGGAGGCAGAGTTGTGGGGGCGGCAGAGCTGTGGGGGAGACAGAGCTGTGGGGGAGGCAGAGTTGTGGGGGAGACAGAGCTGTGGGGGAGACAGAGTTGTGGGGGAGGCAGAGTTGTGGGGGGGCAGAGTTGTGGGGGAGGCAGAGTTGTGGGGGAGGCAGAGCTGTGGGGGAGGCAGAGTTGTGGGGGAGGCAGAGTTGTGGGGGAGACAGAGTTGTGGGGGAGGCAGAGTTGTGGGGGAGGCAGAGTTGTGGGGGAGGCAGAGTTGTGGGGGGGCAGAGTTGTGGGGGAGGCAGAGTTGTGGGGAGACAGAGCTGTGGGGGGGCAGAGTTGTGGGGGAGGCAGAGTTTTGGGGGAGGCAGAGTTGTGGGGGGAGGGCAGAGTTGTGGGGGAGACAGAGTTGTGGGGGGGCAGAGTTGTGGGGAAGGCAGAGCTGTGGGGGGGGGCAGAGTTGTGGGGAAGGCAGAGTTTTGGGGGAGGCAGAGTTGTGGGGGGAGGCAGAGTTGTGGGGAGACAGAGCTGTGGGGGAGGCAGAAATGTGGGGGAGGCAGAGTTGTGGGGGAGGCAGAGTTGTGGGGGATGCAGAGTTGTGGGGAAGGCAGAGTTGTGGGGGATGCAGAGTTGTGGGGGAGGCAGAGTTGTGGGGGAGACAGAGTTGTGGGGGAGACAGAGTTGTGGGGGAGGCAGAGTTGTGGGGGAGGCAGAGTTGTGGGGGAGGCAGAGTTGTGGGGGAGGCAGAACTATGGGGGAGGCAGAGTTGTGGGGAGAAAGAGTTGTGGGGAAGGCAGAGCTGTGGGGGAGGCAGAGTTGTGGGGGAGGCAGAGTTGTGGGGGAGACAGAGTTGTGGGGGAGGCAGAGTTGTGGGGGAGGCAGAGTTGTGGGGGAGGCAGAGTTGTGGGGAGACAGAGCTGTGGGGGAGGCAGAACTGTGGGGGAGGCAGAGTTGTGGGGGAGGCAGAGTTGTGGGGGAGGCAGAGTTGTGGGGGAGACAGAGTTTTGGGGGAGGCAGAGTTGTGGGGGAGGCAGAGTTGTGGTGGAGGCAGAGCTGTGGTGGAGGCAGAGCTGTGGTGGAGGCAGAGTTGTGGGGGAGGCAGAGCTGTGGGGGGGCAGAGTTGTGGGGGAGGCAGAGCTGTGGGGGGGCAGAGTTGTGGGGGAGGCAGAGCTGTGGGGGAGGCAGAGCTGTGGTGGAGGCAGAGTTGTGGGGGAGGCAGAGCTGTGGGGGGCAGAGTTGTGGGGGAGGCAGAGCTGTGGGGGGGCAGAGTTGTGGGGGAGGCAGAGCTGTGGGGGAGGCAGAGCTGTGGGGGGGGCAGAGTTGTGGGGGAGGCAGAGCTGTGGGGGAGGCAGAGTTGTGGGGGGGCAGAGTTGTGGGGGATGCAGAGCTGTGGGGGGGGCAGAGTTGTGGGGGAGGCAGAGCTGTGGGGGAGGCAGAGTTGTGGGGGAGGCAGAGCTGTGGGGGAGGCAGAGCTGTGGGGGGGCAGAGTTGTGGGGGAGGCAGAGCTGTGGGGGAGGCAGAGTTGTGAGGGGCAGAGTTGTGGGGGAGGCAGAGCTGTGGGGGGGGGCAGAGTTGTGGGGGATGCAGAGCTGTGGGGGGGCAGAGTTGTGGGGGAGGCAGAGCTGTGGGGGAGGCAGAGTTGTGGGGGAGGCAGAGTTGTGGGGGAGGCAGAACTATGGGGGAGGCAGAGTTGTTGGGAGACAGAGTTGTGGGGAAGGCAGAGCTGTGGGGGAGGCAGAGTTGTGGGGGAGGCAGAGCTGTGGGGGAGGCAGAGTTGTGGGGGAGGCAGAGCTGTGGGGGGGGCAGAGGTGGGAGGAGTGGAGCTAGAGGGATACAGACGCGGTTTTGGGATAAACAGAGTTGTAGTGAGAAAGGATTGGGGAAAATGTAGCAAACACTTGAACCCCGACAAAACGGGGCCCCAAGTCGTGCGTGGGGGGGGGGGGAGGGGGCGGAGGAGGAGGACTGTGAGAGGGGGGGGGGGACAGTGATGGGGTGAGGTAAGGGTTGAGGCAGTCTGGAGGGGGAGGGGTGACCTAGTGTGGGGCTGTAGTGTGAGGTGTGGGGGTGATCTCTCATGGGACCTCTCACTTAGACTAAAGCAAGTGATGCCACTAACACTCACTATTCCAAATAACTAATATTATGGAGTAATGAGTCTCTCTCTCAAACAGAACAGTTGCTAACACCATTGCTCACCCTGACTATACATGTGGTGAGTGTAGTTAATCCTTCCCCCTCACGTCCTTCATGTAGTCATGTACAGTTACCTCGTGTTAACATCACTCGCATTTGTCACCTTTCATAAGGCATTCATATTAACCATAAAAAATGTTTCCTTTCCGTCCAGATACATCTTATGTGTTATACGACAGATTATAGTCGCTGTGTCTTCCAAATTGTGTTGAGATAATACTCTATATGTGTATTATTTTCAGCATTGGTGGACAAAAAATGCGTTCGTCTCGGTCAGCACCTGGCGGTGTGTGTGTGTGTAATTATCTAAGTGTAGTTACCGGAGAGAGCTACGTTTGTTGTGTCCCGTCTTCCCAGCACTCTTTGTCCCATGATGCTTCGAAATTACTGACGGTTTTGGCCTCCACCACCTTCTCACTTAACTTCTCCCAACCATCTACCACTCTGTGTGGGAAATATAACTTGTTAATATTTTTTTCGGCACCTTTGTTTCCTAAGCCTGAATCTAGACCTCTTGATCGTGAGGTTAAAGACTTCAAGGATTCCTTTCTCTCAATTTGGGCGATTACTCCTTATTATTATGTAAGTGGTGACCATATCTCCTCTTTTCCTTCACTCTTCTAGTTTGGAATATTTAATGGCTCAAGCTTCACTTCATAACTCTTGTTTTTCGGTACTGGAAGCCATTTTACAGCATGCCTTTACACTTTTCCCAGTTTATTGATGTGTTCCTTGAGATTTGGGCATCATACAACTGCTGCATATTCCAATTTTGGTCACACAAAAGTCATGAACAGTTTCGCAATGAAATCACAATGGCGTGATGTATATGAAACTCGTTTTGAGGCAATGGAGTGACTTGAACCAGCGTTCTGGTGTCTGGGAATCACCACAACGCTCGTTCAAGTCACTCTACTGCCTCAAAAGGATTTTGGTGAACAGTTTCTTTAGAATTTCACCATCCATTATCATTGAAAGCGAATCTGAAGTTGGGAAGCACAGCGTGTGCTCCTCCACAATGTGTTCCTCTGGTGACAGTCCACTATCAAGCTCTACGCTTAGACTCCTTTCTTTGTTGGAGATCTTTTAAGTCTTTTCCACATAATTTGTAGATCGGATTTGTTCTCTTTCCTTTTTTCCACATACTATAACATGGCAATTATTCACACTGAATTCCATTTGCCATTTGGTGCCCCAAGCACCATTTTTTATCTAAGTCAGTTTGCAGGGCATGACACTCATCTAGGTTTCCTATCTTCTCCAGTATCTTAGCATCATCCACAAACATGTTCACGTCACTCTGTACTTCTCCTAGTATATCATTTATATAGACGATGAAAATTATTTATGCTAGAACTGAGCCCCGTGGTACTCCGCTAGTAACACTCCTCCAGTCAGATACTTTGTCTCTGAATACCGCCCTCGTGTTTCTGTCAGCTAGACAACTTTTCATCCATGTAAGCAGTCTTCCTGTCACCCCTCTAGCATGTTTCAGTTTTCAAACAGCCTCTTGTGTGGAAATCTGTCAAAAGCCTGTTTTAGGTCCAGATATAGGGTCCGGTTATAGGTTATGAAGCTTAAACTCTGACGCCTTACCTTGACACTTTTTCTTCTGCCCACCTTCGTCACTCTCAAGACTTCATGAAAAGACTTCGCCTGCAG